TATGAAATATGTTGCGTGCCTTATTCTGTGTAAGAAGTCACATCATCTCACAGAAGGATTTATTTCAAACACTCGACTGACGTTATGAAGTGAGTTTGGAGTAAAAATATGTTATTAAATGTGGTATTTTCACATGCTTTCAGATGGAGCACAGAACCGGCTTTACTAACAAAATGCGCATGACAATCGCATTCGATTAATCGTGCAGCCCTACAGACAAACACATAAAAAGCCAAACAGACAGATGATGGACAAAAAAGACAGACAGATAGACAGGCAATTAAATGGACAGATAGACAAGACAAACAGGCAGGCAATAGACAAACAGATACACAGGCAGACAGACAAAGAATAGACTAATAAACATACAGACAGACAGGCATATGGATAGCCAGACAGACAGGCAATGGACTGATGGACAGACAAATAAACAGAAAAAAAAGTCTAACAGACAGACAGACAGCAGGCAATGGACACACTGTTAAGAAAATAGATAGGCAGATAGACAGACAGGCAGGCAAAAGATGGACAAACGGATGGAAATACAGACTGGAAATGAAGAAATAGATGGACAGATAAACAGTCAGATAGATAAACAAGCAGACAGACAGTCAGCCATTTGACAAACAGATTGAAAGATGGACAGACAGACAGAGAAAAATGCAATAGACAGACAGACCGGCAGACAGATGAGTATGAAGATATCTCAGAAGAAAGTAATGTTAAATACACACATGGACACAATGTGTATAAGCAGACGAGCACACTTATGAACACAGATAAAGCAGCACGTCCAAATCTGCAGACGCCGCCATGTTGAAACGACATTCCAAGAAGGAGAGAGAGAACTCTCAAACTCAGACTCTTTCAAAACAGAACGGCAAGTCTCAACATGATGCCTCGTTCCATACAGTACATAGAAAGAAAAAACAGTGCAAGTGCTGCTCTTTAGTTCCCAAGCATTAGGAAACCTCTGGTACATGGAGACAAGCCCTTCCATCACTTCACAAGTATGTTCATGGCCGTCAAGGGACAGTTCATCCAAAAATGCTTTCATCATTTACTCACCCTCATGTCTTCTTTCTACCTAAAAGGAGTTATTAAACAGAAGCAGCTGCACTTTTCCATATACAACGAATGAGAAAGGTAACCCCACAGATGTCAAACAAGATTTTCAGTGATAATTTCACACTGTTCCTCATACAAAACTATCAAATGACTTTCAAAGATTTGGAATATAGTATGTAAGCTCTAAAATTTATTTTATACGATGCCTATGTTTATCCTTTTTGGAGCTTGACGGTCATTGCTTCACAAGCACCTTGACTGTAGAGTGTACATTCTTGAAAACATCTCCTTTGGTGTTCCACAGAAGATAACATGAACCATCTCTTCAAGGCATTACAAACAGAGTGAAGAGAGTAAAAGGAAGTCTCTAGTGCGAGTGAATTTGAGAATATTCGGGTGACAGGGCTTTGATAAGTGCTGGATAGTGTCCACAGAGGCCCAAACTGTCAGCATTCAATGAAACCTAAGCCACTCAGAGCTCTTAAATGAGTACAGATGTGCCACTACTGAAGAGAGGAAACCCCTCTGAGAACCACTGCAAATATAGAACCAGCTACCTGAGCATTTCAGGAGATCTGTCCAAAAACACTGCTTACAAGCAGCCGATTTACAACTAACATACAGATAAGAACGAGATCGAGTGCTTCCTCTATAATACATCAAGATATATCAGATATTCATTTTGAGATTATCAGATGACAACTCTGGCTGGTCAATTACAGATTTAGTAGTTGCCATTTGTGTCAGTTTCACATCTACCAACAGCACTCCTAACACAAACAATCTGTTTTTGATTTATGAAAATGTTATGCAAGTTAATTTAATTTTTAGCAACTTGGCATACATCACATTTCAGTATAAATCAACAATATTTCAGCAATCTAATACATCTTTAGTTACTAGAATCTGTATCAGTAACGATCCTTTTCAGTTGAGCACTAGCTAGACTACAATGCACTTGACCCTTTTAACCCTTTTAGCTTGCTTCTACAAGTCTTTGATTTGCGTTATCATTAGGGGTGTCACTATAAATCGATTCATGGATCGATTCTGCGATTTTCCGAATGCATCGCGATTTTGAGATTAGTTGTTAACAGCAGATGGCACTGCATGCTTTAGAAACAGCCGTACTCTGCTTGCTTCCAGTTCCTTACACACGCACCATTTGAACTTGAAATAATAATTTATAAAGTCTGAAAATGTTGAAGCGAATTATGAGTGTTCACAGTGGGCTGTTTACATTAGTCTCACGTCATAAAAGCATAAAAGCCGAGGCGCAAGTACATTTAACCACTTACATTACTCAGTTGAACGCACAAATGCTCTTCTTCGTGAGCATTTGAGTGTGCATTTAAAAAACAAGTTTAGAATTGATTCCAGAGAGAATCGCGATGCATTCTGAAAAAATTGCAGAATCGATCCACGAACCAATTTATCGTGGCACCCCTAGTTATCGTGATTTGTGCTTAACCTAACTTGTGCACAAGGCTCCACATCGCAAGTGCAATGTTGTACCGGGTAGTGTTGTCACGGTACCAAAATTTCAGTATTCGGTACCACGCGGCAACAGTGTAAAGCAGCCCAATTCCGCGGGAAAACCGCAGACTTGGCAACACTGGAAGAGGATAGCTTTCTGATAGCGCATCAAGAACCGGGTTGACCGGGTACTCTGTACCACTGGTACTTAAGAAAACCTGGTACCGTAACGTTTTCTTTTTTTTAGTACCGACTTGGTACCGAAATACCGGGTCTTTTGACAACACTAGTACCGGGTGTGCTACTAAGCAAGTTTACTATGTCAGAAAAGCCATACATATGGAGCTGATTATGTGATTCAAATGTCAAAATGTATTAGTCTACAAATAATGCACTATGGTAAAAGTGTTTTAAGGTCACAACAAGAAAATAAGCATTTACTGATCAACAATTTGCTTGTGTAATCATAATTTGTGTGAAATAGAAGTAGTTGTTGGTGTCTGACTGGCACTAATGTTCCTTTCATGTGGAAAGTGAATTGTATGTACAGGTAGGTTTTTGGAGTTTTACAAAAATGTAGGTAGAAGCACATAAAATCATTAATAAAAAGTGTAACTGGCCTTATTAATAGGTTAATAAATGCAGATTTGTGAGGGGTTAAATCTTACTGCTCTCTTTGTAAACTAGGCAAATCTGATGGCAAGGAATGCCACTGTAAACACAAGCAGAGTAAGACACACTCACGCCACAAAAGACTATTGACATTTACATTACACACATGCCAAATGACAGGCTGCATGCAAACACAGCACTCCCTTTAACACCTGCCAATAATTCAGTCTCTGGTAAGTAAATACAGGCTGATGCTCTTAAAGATCTCTGGCCTGTGAGCAGAGGGAGGACAGACAGAGAGCTCTCTTTTATTCTTCTCCTGCTGGCACCGGTTCCAGCCGATCATCCGTTTATTTACCTCCGACACACGCTGAGCTGGTCTTTCTCACCACAGAGCACTGCCAGACATTGATCCACTGAGCCAGGCGCGACACACAGATGCCAGTGAACACAAAGACTTCTGACGGAGAGAAGGGGTGGGCAGGATGGATGGCATGATTTCTGGCCTCTAAATGTAGACTAGTTGATAAATTTGCACATGGAATAGGTAGATTCTGTATGTGTGGGTCAAAAATGGCATGTGTAACGCCAGAAGAAGAGGTAAGGTAAGGATAGTTATGAATGATAACACATCAGACGTCCAAATACTGGAAGAAAAAATCCTTTGACTAACAGCAAAAAGCAAGGCTCTTAATAGGAAAAAAATCTATATAACAAGATTGACCTCCATGCAATACAAGACACTCCTCAACACATACAATCCAACAAACCATATCTATAAAGAGACCGAAATGAAACCATATATTCAGTTTATAGCTCAACATCTACTTTAAAATTGTGCCAGAACATATTCAGACTGGACTTTGATATGCAAAACAAAATCAGAGCCATTTTGATGGCTCAAGTGCATGCAAATGTGATCAGCTCTCCGTTCACACACTGCATTGAGAATCATTTGCATTTGTATCACACTCCTACACATCAACATTGTGAATACATGTGTGAATCACATCTAGCGGGAATGTCCTATATCTCAGTATTACGACACTGCTGTATGAGTACTAGATTTTGCTTCGTAATAGCAGGGATGATGGCGCACGTTACTCATGCTTTCATGACTTAAAGAGGAACATCATCGTGTTTATATCGCAAAAGAACTGCCAGATTGGTTGTTTCGAAAAGGAATGATTCCTTGAGCTACTTTTTTTGGAAGCCAACAGAAATGCATGGGTTTAAAAATAACTAATTCACTTGTAACCAAGAAAACAGGGGCTTTAGCTTAATAACCACAAGGTTTTGAGTCAAAAGTTCAATTGTGCAAAATGGCCAAAAAAAGCACTGTTTTTCTCTGTCCTCCAAACTAAAGTGTCAAACATCATTTTTTTTTTTTAATGCATGATGGGTAACAATTGAGCAAAATAAAACTACTCTGACATACATTAAGACAAGAAGCAGGTTTATAATTGGAGCAGATTTTAAATGTGAGAAACTCTCAGACTGGGGCATTTTGTCACACGTTTCAAATGTAAACACATATATAGTGTAAATCATGGTCTTTTACACTTAGGATGGCAGATTACATTTCAGTACAGTTCTTCTCAAATCAGTTAGCCTTTTGACAACATGCCCCGCTATAGACAACACAGTGTTATACAGCTTTCAATTATCTTTTTTCCTGGGAAATGTTCATTGTTTGTACAGTTTTGACTTTAATGTTTGCGTGTACGCAGAAAGTGACTCAAAACCTGAGAGATATGAGTGAAGTAAAAGGTGTGACAACTAGCCCCGGTCGGTCTCGTCTACAGATAAGCCTCTCTTCTCTCTCCTCCGTGGTTTTCTCTTACCTGAGCAGACTGGAGAGCGAGTGTGAAGAGCTGTGCCCGCCGCTCCCGATATTCCCGGCCGATCCGGAACCTCCGGCGGCGGCCGACCCGGCCGACGGTCTCTTCCCGGACAGGAGCTTCTCAACGGCGGCCAGATTCCCGGTGCGCGCCGCCTCCAGCAGTTCCTGCTCCTTCCCCATCTCACCGCGAGCAGGAGGAGCGGAGACACGGCCACACGGCCTCACGAACCAACTGCACGCCTCTCCGACGCCGCAACACGCATCCACGCGCCGCACGACGCGCTCTCTTCCCGCTCCGGCGCGCTCGGTCCACCAGCGGCGGCTGTGTCAGGGTTCTTCCCGCTCCAAGCGCAGTCGCTCCGGGGAACTTTCTCTCCCAGCGCCGTACAAACTTCCTCTGGCACGGATCGTGTCGTCACTTCCTCCTCGACGGGTGCGTTCCTCGGTGACGTCGCGTTCGCTCCGAATTATGCACATCATTTAATTACAGTAATGACGGCGGAACAGCATTCAGGGGATTGAAATCGATGGATTTCATTATGCGACGTCCTCGTATATTCATATTTATTTTGAACTACAGTAACATCTTCTGATTTCTCACCATGGCGACAGCAGAGCTGCCAATCAATAAATTGGGGGGAAAAAAGTAACTTGCGTTACTTTTTTGAAAAAGTAACTCGGATATTCTCTTGTAAATTAAAAAGTAATGCGTTACTTTACTAGTTACTTGAAAAAAGTAATCTGATTACGTAACTTGCGTTACTTGTAATGCGTTACCCCCAACACTGATCCTTACATCCTGACATTAGCGGAAGAAGAAACCGTGACGGTTTATCAAGGATTTATGGAAAATAGCTTCAGTTGAGAAATGATCAGAAGAGTCTCTTATGAAGCCAGTCATGAGGAACAGCGCAGGACAGATAGCCTATAGATGGACATTAGCAATATATTAAGATCTTTGCATTTCGTGTAAACATTTTGGTTTTATAGACCTATTTTTCGTTTTTTCTTGGTAATTCCGTAATTAAGCCAGTCTAGGAAGATTTTAATGTTATATTGATGTTGAATTATAAAAAATGTGTACCTTACCCGAATCAGGCTTATTGATCAGAAGATGTTAAGTTTTCATTGATTTTGATGAAGCATTTAGGATGCCAGAGAAACAACTCTTATACTAATCACTGAATCACCTCCAACATAAAGATATTGCAGCAGAGTTTAAACAGAACAGGATCAAATGTATGAATTAGGCTAATTGTTGCCAGAATTTACTGATTAGCCTAATTGTTTGATTGATTTTAAGCAAATACTATAAATATTTATTTACAGGTACTTTCATTTAAGTATAGATTCACTACTTGAGCATCATATAAGATAAAATTATTATTTGTATAATTTAAAAACAATTTATGTAGCCTACAGTTTTATAATTTACAAAAAACTAACAAACACTAGCTTTCTATTTTTTCTATTCTATCTACTTGTTTTTCTTTGTGTGTGTGTGTGTGTGTGTGTGTATATGTGTGTGTGTGTGTATGTCTGTGTATAATATATGTATGTATGTGTGTATATGTATATGTATGTGTATATATATGTGTGTATGTATATATATATATATATATGTATATGTGTGTATGTGTATATATGCGTGTATGTATATATGTATATGTGTATATATGCGTGTATGTATATATGTATATTTGTATATATGTGTGTATGTATATATGTATATTTTTATATATGTGTGTATGTATATATGTATACTCTCACACACACATTCATTCTCCTTTCACATGCATACATTTCTATTCTCACACACTTACATTCTCCTTTCACATGCATACATTTCTATTCTCACACACACATGCATTCTCCTTTCACATATATATATATATAGAATGTATGTATATCTGAAGAAAATATGTGTGTGACGTTTTTCCCGGAGTGTCTATTTACACTAAGTGCAAATAGCCCGCCTTGTTGATAGAGGCTATTTACAGTAGTTCCGCCCACAAATGTGTTGTAGGGATAGTCAACACTATAAAAGACGGCACATAATCGTCAGCTTCAGTGGTGAAGCTGGTAAAGCGCGCACCGTTGCATTTTAGACGCGATCGACCCGAGTTCGAATCCGCCTTTTACCGAACTTTTTTTCTTCCTTTTCAAATCTCATATCACATCAGAAACGCATTTATTTTCAATAAAAATGAAGGAAACAATCAAAAAGTTGAAAATAAAGTATCGGGTAGGGTTAGGGTAGGTGTAGGGAGG